CTTATTCCAATTTTTGAAGTATCTTACTTTAACGTATTTAATTTATTCATGAAAATTAATTTTCTTACTTTACTTAAATAACCATTTATTAATTAAGAATTATAAATATTTTTATATGCTATAATATTTTAAAAAGAATCAACATTAACCAAATAAAACCTGTGCAAAAGGAAATACTTTTAGCAAATTATATAAAAAGGGCTTACATAACTTGCATTCTGTTTTTTCATCTTTTGTTTAATTAATTAGAAAACTATAATTACATTGAGTCACAACATTTTGCTTAAAACATATACTCTTCCTGTTCACAATATGCATACTCAATCAGTGTTGTAAACCAATACAGGTAAAAAAAATACTTTCAAAATATACCATTTGGTTTTCGCCATACGAAGAACTTAACACAGCAACATTTCATTTACTTGTACCTTCATGAAATACTTGAGAATGAATGAGCTACAAAACGAAACGTCTTAAATTAATATTAGGTGCTTTTACAAAATCATACATGATAATGCAATGTTGGTTTTTCATGATTTACAAAAACAAGTCTTTCCCATATATGCAAATACTTCCACAGCTGTACATAAGCTCTGTGACCAAGTAGAAGATTCATTCTACTGCTTTATTAACACCAATACCTCTTCTGCCAGTTTTCCAAAGTTATTTAAGCATCCAGATCTTGTTTAAATAATAATATGCTCATATCTGTATCTGTTGAAGAAATAGTTGACAAGTGTAATTTCATAGCAAGAGGCTATAACTCAACTGTAGACCAATAATTACATGGGAACACAGAACATAATGTCTTTTAACTGTACTGTAGTAAAATAAATAAAACTGATACTATCTCTAAGTATGCCGTTATGTAGGCAGATAGCATCACATGCAAACAAGCATCAAACTAGAAAGGTGTTTCCCATATACTTATTTGTAAATACAATAGCTGGAAATTACAGAGGGATTGTGAAATGTTTAGATAGATAGCAATGAACATCATCCTTGAGCACAATACTAAAAACACAAACCTAACTATAAGGTGACTACAAGGATAAAGTAATTATAAGCTGATTAAACCTGTAAATAAAGTCCTGACTCACTAACCCATGTAGTCTAAAAAAAGTTTAACAATGATCATATAAAATGATACAGTCAAACACTACTACTTCTACCAATTTACAAAACCCGTACTATAATTCTGGCAGATTTATAGTGGAGGGGAGATTTTTGCCATAGTGAAAGAAAAAAAAAAACAACAAAAAAATCAGTGAACAATTATAATAATAAAGCATTCATACATACAACTTCTAATGAAGATAAATACCTCAATCCTTTATATATATAACAAAAAAATAAACAGTTGTCACTTTCTTTATCCAGAAGGCAGTTTTTGTACCGATACTTATACAAGCAGATTCAGTTTCAGACCTTGTTCTTTATAGGGATGAGGAAGATGACTGACATTTTTTCAAAGTGGTATCACAGAAACCAAGCCAATTAATTTATGTGTACTTGATCTGAAAAGAAAACAAAAGCTACGATGGTTTGTTTTCCACTGAGTTGCTGCTGTCTGAGGTAGTAGTTTCACTCACTTTAATTTCATTCTGTGAGGACTGTGCAGGTGGATGGGTGTCTGCTGTACCAACTGTGCCTTTGCTAGTATTTTGTAAAGAGAATTCTGTCTGCTTTATTTCTGAAATGTTTGAACCACTTAATAATTCTTTTGTTCCATTCTTTTCAGTATCGTCTTCTGTTTCGCTGTCATCTTTACCCAAACTGTCTGCTGTATCAAGTTTATCATCATCTAGGTCATCATCATCATCATCATGATTACCCATCAATGACTTCAAGCTTTCATCATCCGAGTCTTGTTGGGCTAGAAGGTTAAAGTCTCTTCCACTATACATAGAACCAGCCCCAGTGATACTTGTTGTTGTAGAACGTGTGTTGCTGGCTGTGGCAGTAACCGTACGAGCTGAGGAGAGATTGCTTAAGCTAGTGATGGAAGAAGACTTTGTAGATGAAAAAACAGAACCTGTTACAGAAGGATGAGAAGCCATACTTGGTGTACTACTTAAATTATTAAGCCCAACTAGCCCATTAATTAGATCACTCTGACCTACAGATGCAAGAGAACCAGGCATGTTTGGAGGTAAGGAAAAGCCACCTAAACCAAGTGGGTTATACAAAAGTCCCAGAGAAGGGTAAAGAAATGGAAGTGAATTGGCAGATGCTAGTGATGACATGCCACTTGAAGCAGAAGCTGATGTTCCAGTCCTAGACATTGATGGAAGTGTCACACCCTTAGCTTTTGATAACATTCCACTGACTGCCTTTTCCCTAATTCTGTCTGTCTGTTCTCTATCACTTTTATCTTTCTCTGAAACAAGGCTTGAAGAAGATGCAAGAGAACTTATTCCCTGAAGGCCAGGAAAATTAAAGCTTGGAAAACTTAACAGGGGATTTGTTAAACTCATTCCTGCCAGCCCACCAAATGGTAAAAATAAGGGAGGGGTAGCAGGCAATGTAACTGAAGATGTTGTGGAAACAGCCGAGCTTGATGGCCCTTTTGAGGGATCCATAAAAAATTTCATTCCTCCTGGAAAGCCTGGAAGCACGCTGTTACTACTACTACTACTACAAGCAAAATTAAGAGGATTCATGCTAGAAGGTGATGGAAAAGTCACTGTGGTTGATGGAAAATTGAGATTTTGATGGGAACTAGCAAGAAGTGAACCTGTTCTTCTTTCCCCTCGTCTTTCTGTGGGCATAGTGGATCGTCCCTGAAGGATGTCTAGTAGATTACCCTATTGAAGCACAAAAACAAGTACTTGGACAAGTATTACCTTTGGTATTTTCAATATATGTTTGACAGAAAATACTTTTGAACTCTTACTTTTTTAATTTTACACATTTTACTATAAAAAAATATATCTAACAGGAACTTGAGGATTAATGGATAGCCTTTTTAGTGACCAATAATTTTTGTAAAAAATATGAATAACTTACTTCCACTAGAGCCATTAAAGCTGATGCCTGTATAAAATATCTACCAGAAAGTTTTACTTTTTCCCCATAACTTTTGAATTAGGACTGCATCATGGCAAATATTTAGTATCTGAAGCAATAAGCTTTAATGATACCTTTAATAACATCTTTAAATGCAATTAAAATGTATTAAAAGATTGTAAGCTTGTAAGCTACCTTTTGAAATTTACATTAAATATCAATAACTATTATGAAGTTCCTCTTTAAATATAACAAGTTTATTCTTTACTTCAAAAGTACTGAACTAGAAATACCAAATGTTCTTAAAAAGCTTATTCACCTACATTTGTGATATGTGGTTGGCTGTCAAAGAGGAAATTCTACTTTGTTTTTATTTCAACATAAACTTAATTATCAATAAACACATTGTATGACTCTAAGGGCTTCAGGCAAAAACTGAAGCTAACTTTCCAAAGAAACAGCTGGGGAAATATTAAAAGTGATAAACCAGTATGTTCCAATGATAACTACTACCAATTTGACATACTTCAGGCAGCAATAAAACAGCTTATATATTGTAGATGATGGGAAATTTGTCTTTGACAATGGGTAATGATTTATACCTAATGTATGAAGTAGCTTACTGGCAGAAAATAACATAGTTTTTTTTACAATTCATTTTTCTAACTTTACAGACGTATGGTCAATACAACTGACACATTGAAAAAGAATAACTTTTGAGTTTTATAGACGCAAGTTGAGAAAAATTAAAACTTGTGTATTTAGTTACATGTAACATGAGATCAGAGGCACAAAAAAAAGTCCATAAACCAACAGAAAACTTAAACAAGAAATTGAAACTGGGACATACGCAAAGCCAAAGTAAGATCAAACATATTTTTTTTATTACCGGTCTCCTCCAACATGCTGATAAACACACACAATGACTGTACTTTGCTTTAACATAACAGTAACCCATGTTACCAATTCAGGGCCATATTACAAAACAAAAAGGCATTAGCTATATTACACAATATAAATATGCAAATTCTTTTATATGATATATGGCTGCAGACCATATTACAGACTATTAGGGCATAAATTATGAGGGAAGGTTAAAAAACGTTTGTGAATCTTATATTTGACGCTAGTACTTTACACAAAATAGATGTAGAAATAACTGTTTGAAAACTTTTAAACCTTAAATCTTACAAAGTGTCAAAGTCTCAGTGCAGTGGATGTTTAAAAAAACTCTGATCCTTCTTCTAAAAATATTCAATTCTAACACAAACCACTTAATTTGGTGTTAATCTATTACACACATGTAGGATGCTAACATTAACATAAATTATGCTAATACCAGATAGACAACACTAATTCCTTAGTTGGAGAAGAGTTACTAATTATTACAAAGTAAAACAACTGTCACTATTACGTGATCAATTATCCACCCACCCCAGTAATAAAAAATACATCTTAATACTTGATGTAATCAGGAAAAAATAAAAATAAACTATAATGAGCTAAAGACTGTTATTCATCACTTACAGATCTTGAACTTATATAAATCTTAAAGCCTGTCAGTTTTTCTTGCATGTCCATTATTTTCTGTAAAGTTTATTCTATAGAGTAATAAAAACAATACACTATGAATCCAAATGGTACAGTTTTCTTGAATTTTTTTAATAAGCAATGTGCAGATTGCTTTAAAAAAAAGATGCATATTTATGAACTTAGCCTGAAATCTCATAAATTCATTACTTTAGTTTAGCATTACTTTACTAGAGGACAATGTTGCTGAAAGAATGGTATTTGAAGTGAAAATGTTCTACTTTTAGAACAAAAATTATGTTGCAAACTGAATATTCTTCAAATGGATAAGTGAAAAATATACCAAAAAAGTTATGATGTTAGATTTAAGTGGACAGTTGGACTTCCGAAGACAAAAGAATGAGTTGCTTACTGAAAGTGCCTGAAATAGGAGAAGGAAATTTGGTGACGTAAATTAATTTGTCATGAAAAAGCAGGTTCCTAAAACTGTTGTTTTTGAACCTTTTGTTGGAATTGTTTTTTTAGTTTTGTTCCTGAAGCAGTTGTCATATTGTGGGCATGAAACCTACATCCCTATACTGGCACTTTAGAAATCTCCTTTAATTCTATACTTTGCCTTGAAATCTACAACTTACAAGTAGTTAGTTGATACAAGTGTATATAGTTATTAGACAGAGCTCAGTTTGCATTATATTCTTCCAATGGTTAATTTGAAATGGGTATACAGCTTTCCTTACAGTGTACGTGTAACTGCCATTTATATTGTTGTCTGCTTGATCGACTATAGCACGTATGGTGGTCTCTTACCTAAATATGCTATGGTTAGGGAGACAGTTAAACTGTATTTAGGTCTTACTTTTATATTTTGGTTAAATGGTTTGTTTTGTTTTGAATTTCTCGCAAACCTACACTAGGGCTATCTGCACTAGCCGTCCCTAATTTAGCAGTGAAAGACTAGAGGGAAGGCAGCTAGTCATCACCACCCACTGCCAACTCTTCGGCTACTCTATTACCAATGAATAGTGGGATTGACCATCACATAATAATGCCCCATGGCTGAAAGGGCGAGCATGTTTGGTGGGACGGGGATTCGAACCCACGAACCTCTGATTCTGACTCAAGCACCCTAATCACCTGGCATACTTAAAAAAAAACAACATAATAGTGTCTACAAGGTGGTGGTTAGTTGACATTAACGATTAATTTACCATGTAGGAAATGTCCAAGTTAACCTTAAAAATATTGTGGTAAAACGTTTTAGACAAAAATATTGTTTTGTAAAATGCACAAATGGCAACCCCTGTGGATAAAAAGTTATGAAGCTAGTACCTCCACTCCACTTTTCTGCTTGTATTGTAGGGGGGCATGCTTATCAATTGACCCTTTTGCAACTGGTTCGTGTAAAACACATGAGCACGTTTGGGAAAGGATACACGTGCAATAAAACATAAGGTAACTCTGAGATTTCTTAACATATTTTCAAATATGCATTTTAAAACATAAATAATTAACTAAAATATAAAAGTAAAACTTAAATATAATTTAACTGTCTCTCTAACTAATACATATTCAAGTAATAAATGACCATAAGTGCTACTGTGGGCAAAGTGGCGAACAATTATTATGGGCAAATACGTGTATGTGATAATGAAAACAGAGCATCAATTCTAAAATAACCAATGGGAGATTTATAGCATAAAATGAGCTCTTTCTATTGGTTATAAGCATGTGCATCAACTAAATATATGTTGCTTGTAAATCTCAAGTCTAAGTATAGAAGGTGGGCATGACACTCATCAGGGGTTGACAAAATGTATTTCTTGTGTCTACTGAACTCAGCCAAAGAACTTTGGAACATACGAGTAAAATAGTGCAGTAAATGTAGCTTTTGTCTAGACATACATGTACAGATACTATGTAGTTGTTTGATCCAAGTCAGAGAATCTGAAAGTTCAGATTTGTGAATACTCGTGCATCACATGAGAAAAAAACTGAAATTTAAGAATTTTTTAAAGGTTTCTTTTAAAATAATGGAATTAAAACTTAAATAACATAAAGCTTCATATTATAATGCATAATAATGTTAATCTCATTGATAGTAAAATTGTTTAATTAAATTTTGAATGTAACTCGGTGACTTGTATGAAAGGGTTAATATAAAATAAGTGATTAATGAACCCGTCAATTAGTTAAATACCACTAATCACTCAACTCTTCTCAGGAGCTGGCTTGAGCACATGGGTCTTCAAGTATTTCTTTATTATCCATGATTGTCATACTAAGTTTTAACCTGTGCTTTAGTGTATAACTAGAGAGTTGAGATAACTGTTTGGGTGCTACTACCACAGTTATTCCTTTTTATGAAAATAGTATCTTTTGTAATTTCTATTGGTGATACGATTCTAGTTATCTTTTTTAATGTTCAAATGTATTGTACATATATATATATATATTTCTGCATTTCAAAAATAAAATAGATGTTCTAACATAAAAATGGTATAGATGGGTATATACATAACAGGTTAATGATAAATAAAGAATTCTCTTCACACACACACACAAACACATCTATTTATGTGGTACACTTTTTTGAAAAACTTTTATTGTATATTGAGTAGAAATCTGTGTGGAGCTGAGTATCTACTGGAAATACATTTTCAGATTAGGAAAATGTTAATTTCTGAGACGATACCTGACCTCCACACACAGAATAGCTAGAATTCCATGCTCAATTGGTGAAGGGGCTGGTGTAAATTTAAACCTTCACGAGTTCCCTTCAGAAAGCACACAAAGGGAAAGCCAAAGAAATGTGTCATCCAATGGCAGAGTCTCCATAGGGACACACCCAATGAAGGCTGCATCCCATCTCAAACAGGGTATACTCTTCAAATGGAATGTAAAAGGGGAAAGGCAAATAAGCCTCAATTGTCACAAGGATGGAAGAAATAAGAATAGGACCATCCAAGCACATGCACACAAGCATTCAGTGAGATAATTAGTGTAGTGTGGATTGGGCATGATCAGACCATATGGGGGATGTGCTCACCTCGACTCAACTGGACAGACTCAGATCGCAGGAGTAGGGCATACTAGCCATTTGAGGTGTAACCTGCACTACAATGACACTGTCACCCCTACCTTTCTTCTGGCTATATTGTGCTAAGCCCAATCAGTTAGGAACTCTCCAAGGTCCACCACCCTGGGAACTAGGAACTGTGGATGAAAACATGAAAACCTATCTGTTGGTTGAAAACTGTGACCAAAGGCTGGCAAAGTGAGACAGACGGGCACCCACAGGGTTCGACCTGACAGGCTTAGTCACTGACGAGATGAGCAATGAACCAGACATCTGGTAGCGGGAAGACGAGGAAGGCCTTGAGGCTGTAATGAAAGAGTAGGGGTAGACTGATCCGACCAAGAAGCCAAAGGTCAAAGCTGAGAAAAATTTGAAACCAGGGAAGATAACGAGGACTGATGCCAGGTTACTTCAGTCTAGGTCTCCAGTAAAACAAGAACACACCAAAGACTTCAGAGTAAAGAAAGGGAACAGAGCTGAAGTGTACAGAAAAAGATGGAAAAGAGAAGGGAATGAACCTTTCCAGAAAACCCCTCTGGAGCATGATGAAGTGCCTTAGACAAAAGGTGGAGAGAGGAGAAGGAACATAGGAGTGTGGTGAGAAAAGAATGAAGATGTGAAAATGGAACTGGAGAAGGAAAGAGAGTACATGGGGGTCTGAACTATAACAGGCAAAAGAGATTCCAAAGGTTAAGAATCTAGAAAAGGCAAGGAAGAATGGTTGTGAGTCAGGACAAAAAAGTCAATAATGCAAGGAGAATGATGCATGTAGGTATAAATGTGGAGTTGTTTGAGAAAGGAATAAGCATGAACCCTAATATTAGGTGAAAGAGAAAAGACAAAGTAATACAGAGAACTGGTTCCATGAAGTAAACAACAGGAAGAATCAAATCCACAGGCTAAAGATAAAGAAAAGGAACACACCTTAGAAATCATATCCAGAAAGAGACTGGAAGGTTGAGGGTTTTCCCCCAACTGGTAAGGCAGTACCCAATGCAAACCCATGTGGGGGAATAGTTGGTTAACTTCGTCATCCTACTGGTTTTTCACAAACTGAGGAGAAAGGACGTGGCCAATGGACAGGAGGAGGCTCAGCATGCATGAGGGGATCCACAACATGCTATACAACAGCTGTAACAACCCCAATAATCAATGAGCCTCCAGAAGCCATAGCAGAAATACGACCTGTGTTCATTACCCAGTTACTTTCACAGGACAAAGTGAAAGTCACTGTCACTTGAGCATTTACTGCTAATCAATGCTTCTGGAACAACAGCAAAAGCAGAACAAAGACATAAATTTTGGTGACAATTGCAAATCTCAGTATATTGAACACAGACTTGAAAAAAACGAACACATCTGTTCAAGGTAATGCTGAGGAAAAGAATGAAGTTATTTACAGTGCAAGTGCTTAAGGTGAGATAATTGTGTGCACATGGAGGATGTCTCCCTCTTATTGGTGGAGGGCTATTGTTGCATGATGATGATGTCATAATGCACAAGTGCAGTTCACGTTACGCGCAGGAATTTTAGGTGGTAGTTAGCTGAAGATTAGTGGCATGCAAAGGATACAAGTATTCTGTATATGGAGATGAGGTGTCATCTCAGAAAATGAAGATTAATACTGTATTGTATTATGAGCTACAAGTTGAATTTCTTATTGTAAGGTTTCTACACTATTATGCTAAATATTGTGTAACCCTTAAATACATGACCCAGTCACTTTCAGTTTTACAAATACTTTGTACATAATTAAGAAAAATTGTAATATAGAGTAATGAACAAGGACGGAGTTTAGCATAATAAAGATTCATACTTCAACTCTCTCACTATGGGTTCTGTCAATTTGACCAAGTTTGTGAGCCAAAATTGATCTTTATTTTCCAGACAATAACTTTTAATACGTTTTGTGTATCTTCACAAAATTTTGTAAGCTTTTAGTAAACATTACAAGGCTTTTGTGTATAAAAAATCTGATAATTTAAGTATTTTTAATAAGTATTTGTCTGTGAATATATGGAGTCAGAATGTTAACTGCTCAAAGTTGTTTTCATATTAAGATTAAAAATACTTTTCTTCATTTGAAAATTGTCAAATTTCATTTGTATAATCTCGGAAATTTCCAGAATAAACATCAAACGTTTTATCAGTAAAACTTTATATCTTATCTGTTATTTTCTCTACCCCAACTCAATATAAATTTAGATAATTTGACTAGCCTCATAACCACCTTCAAAAAATATGGATAGAAATCTAAATTATATATATTTTTCTTTCTATAATTGCTGCAAATTGTAACAGGAAACTAAAGTTGATTGTCCTAAACAGCTTAAAGCTGGTAACAGTATACATAACATGACATAATATTTTGGCACGACATGGGACCTACTGGTCCATCTCGGCTGTTCCATCCTCAAAACTAAATTAAAATGATTAACAAAAAAAATGTTAAACCCAGCACTTTTTATTTATATACTTATCATGCTTTTTCTTAAAATCACTTAAATCTACTGCCTCTACAGCATCCGAAAGCAACCCATTACAAAGGCCAACCACCATTCTTAGCTTTAGCAATATATATATTTTTCATCCCAAAATGCTATATTATACACTGTATACATCATCACTATAAAGTGTTCAGCCTGTATAATAAGCACCATGTTCTGCTAATTTATTTCTAACCAATTTATCATGACACAAGAGAAATGTTATTTATTTTTGTTTTGACCCAATCCTCTGTGTTAAATTGGAAAGAAACAATATATCAAACTTTTTACCCTCTTATACAGTACTACCAATTAACGAAGTAAACCAAAAACGTTTTATACACGCATGTAAATAAAAAAAAAGAGGCAGCAATTGTATTACTGCTGATTTTCTAGACAAAAATATAGTATCCATTATTGAAAAAAGTCCCTTTAAAACCAACATGAAGTTTGATCGTATCTTTCCACTTAACTATATGGATGATTAATCAAACATACTGTAATTAGTTTTCAGATAATTGACCTACTTTTTCTTTGAATAAAGGACTCCATTTAGGGTCAACATCAAACATGGGATTCTTTTCCAACCATTCAGCTAGATGTTTAAGGGGTGGAGCTCTACTACCAGTGACCTGTAAACACATGAGATAGAGAACACATTAAAGCTCCACCCCTTAAACATCTAGTTTTAACAAACATCTGGGGAAAGAGAGTTGTAATGTGTTCTCTATCTCATGTGTTTACAGGTCACTGGTAGTAGAGCTCCACCCCTTAAACATCTAGGTTTAACAAACATCTGGGGAAAGAGAGTTGTTGGGGAAAGAAAGTTGCAATGTGTTCTCTATCTCATGTGTTTACAGGTCACTGGTAGTCATGTTTGGTTTTTATAAAAACAATAAAATCAAATCCATCATTTTGACTGTGAGTACCAGCAGTATTTTTTTGTGCTGCTTAATTCAGTGTAGAAAATTACTGTCAATTGCACAGTCTTGCATTTTTCAGAGTGTCTATATATATCACCCAAACTGGGCCTCTTCATACATACTTACATTTAATCAAACTCATTATTAATATCTGCTGTGCAGACAAAACATGGTGGGAAAACCCAGACATACCACGGAATAAACTGAACATGCACTTTTAGAGAAATAACAAAAAATAAAATTGACACCAACACAATAAAACCAGCCAAAGCAATGTAAGCTATCAAACTCATCTAGATATAATAATTATGACAACAAATACTCCTGTACGAGATTATTAGCAACAAGATATTTTAACAAAAGATGAAACTTTTGAGAACAAACCTTTTTGCCAGTAACTCTGTTAATAACAGACACATTCTCCTCTCCAGTAAGTTTTGTAGGATCCAGCCTGGATGGATCCAGACGGGGTCGCCGCTTTCGTTTTCTTCCTTCTGGAAGTTCTAGGAGTTGAGTCTGAAAATATTTAAACAGCTTATTTCAAAGAACAAAAAAATGATTTGGTTTTTGATGGGAACAAATTATACAGTTAAAAATTAAAACTTGTATTAAGTTGTTTGTTTTACTTTTGTTAATATTTTGCATTTGAAACTACCATATAAGTACTGAAATCACTCTACCTTTATGTAGTAGAGACGGCTAACATGGGTATTAAAAACACAAAAGAAAATGAAGAAGTGAACATTGTTTATCACTTGCCGTGGGGAACGACAATAATTATAGGTATAAGATTGTAGGGAGCATTAAGTATACTTAATCTATTAAATACGGTAGTTAACAGTATGATATGATGTGTGAACACATTTAAGGAAATAATTATACAGGTACAAAAGTGTTCCTTTGTGCTGATTCAATGTGAGTTTAAGTTCTAGTATTAGAAGAGCTTCTTTAATCTTTCGTTTGTTTACATATTTTTCTTTGCTTAATATGTTGTTGATTTCTATGGGTCTATTGTGTTTATTTGAGATACAGTGTTCAAGAACATGGGAGGGTGTTTTTTGTGTTCATTGAATCTAGTATTCATTTTTCAGCTTGTTTCTCCGATACAGAAATCACAGCAGTCGTTTCATTGCATTTTATAAGTAACGTTAGTATTGTGCTTGTTAGGGTAGTTTTTACATAGTATAGATGTGAGTTTGGTACCTGGTTTTTGGATAAATTTAGTGTTTACTGAAATGCAATGTTTTCAAGTTTTTTTCCAAATGTCAGTTACTTTGTCATTGATATCTGGGATGTACGATATACAGAAGTTTAGTGTTTTGTTGTTAGTTGTTTCATTAAATTTTGGATTGTTGGTTGGCTGCCCATTGTGTTGTTAGTTGTGGTTTCTGTGTATAATTCTTTGAACACCAAAAAATCCAGGTACCAAACTAAAATATATATACCATGTAAAAACTACTCTGACAAACATAATATTAACTTTATTTACAAGATACAGTGCAACAACTTCCATGATTTCTATATCGGAGAAACAAGCCGAAAAATTAATACTAGATTCAATGAACACAAAATAATGCCATCCCATGTTTTTGAAAATTGTGTCTCAAATAAACACAATATAATCATAGAAAACTAACATATTAACATAAATGTAAACAAACAAAAGATCAAATAAACTGTTCTTAAACCCATATTGAATCAGCACAAAGGAACACTTTTATACCTATTCTAATCATTTCTTAAATGTGTTAAAATGATATCACACTGATAATTACCACACATATATATATATATATATATATATATATATATGATAATACATACATCGACCCTACTACTTTACTACTATATAGTA